AAAGAATATGCATTGTTCTATAGCTTTACTTCAAGAGACACACTTATTGCAAATAGAACACTTAAAATTAAAAAGGGAGTGGGTGGGCCAAGTCTATAGTGCTTCATGCGGGGGGTAGGGGTAGCCATCTTAATTAACAGAAGTGTATACTATAATAATGAGAAAATCTTTCAGGATACAGAGGGTCGGTATGTTATGGTGGTTGGTATAGTGGCAGGAATTAAGATAACTGTTTTAAACATCTATGCACCAAATGAAGATTGCCCACATTTTTAAAAAAAGATTGTCCATCTGTTGGCGGAGAAGGGCGAGGGACTGATACTTATAGGGGGTGACTTTAACTGTGTAATTAATAATAAATTGGATAAACTACCCATAACCACCAAACCACAATCCAGAATCTCCACAAGTTTATTAAATATGATTGAAGAACTGGGGTTAATAGAAGTCTGGCGCCACCTTCACCCGAGGGAAAGAGATTACACATTTATGTCCCATGTAAATGGAAGTTACAAAGACTGGACTATTTTTTTATATTAAAGAAAGACACATTTCGACTTAAAGATAGCACAATTGACACAATGACCATCTCTGATCATAGCCCAGTAATTATGAACCTAAATCTGGAATCTGAAAACCACATTAAATACTGGAGAATAAATACCTCAATGTTAACAGATGTCTGTATTCGAGAAGAGATACAATCAGCGATAACAGAATATTTTGACCTGAATGATAATGGTACTGTTTCACCAGCAGTGCTTTGGGATGCAGCTAAGGCCACAATAAGGGGAAAATTAATCTCTATAGGGTCTAGACTTAAAAAAAAGAAAAACTAAAAAAACAACTGGAATTGGAATCAGAAATTAAAAGATTAGAAAAGGATCATAAACAACATGGAAGGCCAGAAACGCTTAATGAATTAAAGGACGCTAGTGCAAGGCTGGACAAATTATTAACATATAAGGCAGAGGGTGCCCTTAGATTTATAAACAGAAAATATTATGAAATGGAAAACAAAGCCAGCAGATTGTTAGCTTTTCAATAAAAAAAGGCACAGGCTAGTCGTGTAATTCCTAAAATAAAAAATATGAGTACAAATAAAATTGAAACAAACCCTAAAGCAATCTCAGAT